TGATTTCCCATTCTACGTGTCCTTTAAAGTTCAAATATTCTTGACCTTGTACTTTGGTTTTAAAATAAGTATTTTTGTTATTAAATATTCTTGATATAACCACGACAAGTAACATTTGCCAAGGAGAATATAAACCTCACTTTTCATCCATTCATGAAGCAAAGAGTGAGCATGGTCTAATTGTTCTTGCATTCAAACATTCTTTCTCTAAATCTACAATTTGAAATGTAAGTAAAATTCACAATTTTGCTTTGAACTAGAGCCACAAAGTTCTTTGTGAGGCCACCGCAGGCTGTGCAAAGAACAAAGTTTATATTTGATTCTGGCTTTCTTATTTTGTAAGAAGTGATGCCGTCAAACAAACAGCTCAAAGCATCAAGTCCCATGTGCAGTTTAACTACATCACAATTATTGGATGGCAGAAAACTCATCAAAACAAGTGAGAACAAGGTAAATATACCCAAAATCATTATTGTTTTTACTAAACAGTGATTAGATCTTGTGATAAACCACTGTACTTCCATACAAAGTCACTTAATGTTGAGCCATACTGGTAAAACACTGCTACAGGAAGTGAAGGGATGACTATTGGAAAATCTCAAGTATCAAGGATATGACAAAGACATGCAAACTTTGACATGATTTCAATAAAATATCATACTTGCTGTACTATATTTGTAACAAAACAAGTGCTATATGTATCTAACTGAAGAAGACAAGTGGATTCATGCATGTGCAGACCGTCATTAAACACAAGCTCTGGGTTCATGCTGCAATGAGGTCGTAGTTTACTTCATAAAATCCTGCTGGATCTGCTGTGATGCACGCTGTTCACTGCCAAGCCTTAAAACTATATTACCTCATCTTATTAACAAGCCACATTTTTGTCCAAACTCTCACTATCCCATCAAGAAAAAGTTGCAAATCGCGGGATAATCGCCCAGAAGCACGTTGTAGATAATGATTCGATATTCCCACATGGCAATAATGAGGTTGATTTCTCGCCAAGAGTTGGACAGCAAACCAATTTACAAAACACACTGGCAGGAGGTTCTACTCTGAGCATTACCTGTAGTAATCAAAATGCACCCAAAAAACTTTCATCCATAAAATTAAATCCAGCGTAATTAGAGGTGTTGCAGCATCAACAGATCCGAAATGAAGCGCTGTATTTTGAGTGAGGATTTCGGGTTTTGGCTGCGTCTGCACCTATGTGCCTTTTCTTGTGTGACTTTTTTTAATTTATTCATTCTATGGGCATGCATCACTGACAGCTGTCCTCTATGTCAATACAGATGTCTGTCAGGAGAGATTATCCATCACATGAATCCAGGCAGATAATGAGCAAGAGGGAAGGGCATTTTTTACCACCCCCAAGTGTGCAACATACGACTCCAGCCAAGCTAATTAAGCAGATGCCATAATGCGGTAATCAGGAACACAGCGGAGGTTGGAGAATTCCACAAAACTTGAGCCGTAATGCAGCGACATTTGGTGCTTAAGAACTTCCCCACCAACAAAAACAGATGGGCTGCCACGCCGTAATGGATGTGTGTGTGTGTCTGTACGTGTGCTAGTAATTATTGGGCAATGTGTCTTAATAGACTCCTACCTGTTATATTTCTAAATGATTAGTGCTAAAAAGTGGCAAACAGACAAATACAGTGGAGTGTGTTCATTTGCAGCAGGGGAACGGCGCTACCTGGTGAGGTGTTTTCCTCATTATTTTTCCGGAAAATGAGCAATCAGCCATATTGCACGCGGCCTGATTGTTTCCCCCTGTAAATCAATCCAGGAATTGCAATTAGGATGTTCTCTTATGTGGTATAATTGATGTCTAGCTAATCCTTTATTTGCACACCTGCCGCTGAGTCTGAATTTTTAATGAATTTCTAATTAATGCTCTTTGCACACTTGATTTATGTGTTAGCAAATTATATTTCTGCTCAGTGTCCTGCTGCCTACACTGTGTCACACCTGCATTAAAAATTAAGTTAAACGTGTCTCCAGAAAAAGCCAGACGTGAATTTATGTGAGAATTATAACTGATGGAAGTATCTTCAAGACAGAATAAGATAAGTCTGCTTTTGTTACAGGCCTTTGTCCACCGCGGTCTGCTCATTTATTTATTCATAGTCTGGCCTAATGCCAACAGTCATGTTTTTGTTGTGACAAACCCCCCACTGGCCACAGGTTTTCAGTTTATTTATTTATTTGGGAATTTTCTTTTTATTGCCAAAGCTACTCATTATTAAACAGAAGTGTATGTTTTGCGTACAATCAGAATAGACATTTGGACCAGATGCGATGGGTGCAGGGTCAACCCTATGGCTGCCTTTGACTTCCTGATGACCATGACGTTTATTCAAACTAGATCCACCTCATGATCCATCTCTACATCTGTGGCATGATTTACATACAGACCACGCAGATACTGTATAACAATTAAAACACATTCAAATTAAATGCAGTGTCCAATGTTAATTTAATAACATTCATCAACTTTCTGTATATGGAGAGTCTGTTCTGAGGTGGATTCAATAAATTGAAATAATTAGGTTTTTATTTTTTCATGAAACATGAATTCCACCACATGTTGCAACATCTGTCAGGCTGCCACAAAATTCCATAATTAAATACCAATTATTTGTATAAGTTTGCAGTTTTTTTTTTTTCTTTTCTCCTGATGGTAATCCATTTCACATTGCTTTGGCCAAGAATAGGAGCATTATTTTCATATGTCATTCATATGTCGTGCTTGCATCACCACAAACCTGTCTCGTACTTGGCCTGCAGGAGCTCCTCCTGCTTGTGTCCATGGAGATGTTCAGGTTTAGCAGAGAGAACTCCATGAAAGGAATTTTCTATTGTGGGGCGGGTCCGGGTGCCACTCCAGTGAGAGGAAGTGTAATAAGAGCGGAAACCTGTGGGGTGGCATGACGGTCGATGGAAGGGCCTTTTCTTCCAAGATTGTGGAAGGAGGACATGTTCTTCTGTCCACCTTCACTTTGACTCTGACACTCTTTCCTGTCACTATGCTGAAAAGCTTAGTAACAGTGGAATGGTGTCAATAGCGTGATAATGAGCAGTATTCGTTTTTCCACATGTTGAATGTGCCCCAAATACTTTAGAATTTGTTTTAAGTATAGGGGACACATGCACAAAGGCCAGATTTGTGTTGTGTATGACTGCTGTTTGTCCCATGTACAGATTGCCCCGGGGGAGCTGTGGATGTCTGTCCCAGTGTCTGCATGTGTTCTCTTTCCATCCTCAGACGAAGAATAAAACAGAACTCTGTGAGATGGGAAACATTTCGAGGCCTGTAACTCAACAGAGCTTTGAACTTCTCCCCAACTTCTTCCCTTCATCAGCAGCTATTAGGAATATTTCATAGGCAGATTGACGCTCTCAGATAATACTTTACTCTCTCTGCATTACAGAGAACTCAAATGCTGATGTGAAAGCTATACTTGTCAGTTTGTTACTTCCTAAAAAAAAACATGTATGCATGTTGTATTTGCACTTTTGCACGCTGCCGTATGCAGTAAATGGTTCCACCCCTATGTCGCCATATGTTTAAACTTTCCCAAGGATTGATGCTTGTCAAGTGACCTCTGACTTACCACCAACACCTACTGACATGGTGTGGCTTAAAGTCTGTCCCCTGATCTAAGATAAATATATACTGAAGGAGTGTTTTACAGAAAGGAGCAGATGTTACTCTTGAGCTGGATATTAAATACAATTTTGTAATGTTGATGTTAATGGTAACATTTTCTTATTTTTCCTTTGTAATTGTTCATTGCTAAGCATCACAAATGTTCTATTTTACATCATACTTCCTGGTTTACTAAAAATATAGTCTGAACAAAAGTAGCCTTTACAGGAAAAGTATTTGGTTGTGATTTCTTAGTGGCCACTTTATTAGAAACCTGATTTATGAGACTGTTGATGTTAACTGAATACTGCAAATATTACCTTTATTATTCCTCACTAAAAGTTGATGTTGTTATAGATTTAAATGCAAAGTTGGTGACTTTATCAGGGTGCTCATCTCCGGCTTGTGACAGCCGTTCTCTTGTTTGTGGTGTGCATCAGATCTAACCTCATCACACAAACAGACAGTGTCAGACGGCTCCATTAGCACAATCTTTTGGGGAAAGGACTTTTGAATCCCACTTTACACCTCTGACGCCTCACTTTAAATGAGCTCAAACTCCACAAGCCTTCGTTTTCTCTTTCATTTATTTGCTGTTGCATTTCATTTCCAGGCCAATTCACCCTCCTCATCAGATGGCAATTAACAACCATGAATCACAGAGCAGCTTGGCTCAACTGCCTTCTCATGACACCTGCTCAAAACAACACAGTTTGGTGAATCATTCTTTTATTCCAAATAAAATCTTATTTACTTCAGTTTAAACAACATTTCAAATTCCATCAGAAGTTTGCAAAATGTAATAAAACTTCTTCCGTTGCATCATATTTTAAAGAACGACTTCAAATACAGTTTTCCTCCTGCTGATTTTCGTAGCATTGCAGTTTGAAGGCATGATTACATTTCAACTCTTGCCGCGCCGTCCAGCTTTGGTTTTTCTTACAAGAGAAAAAAACTCACTATGAACATTTAAGAATCTTTTAATTCACACTAGTAATAAAATTGCATTACATTTCATAAAATAAAGTTCCAGTTTATATATACACAGAGAAAACTGACTGTACATACCCTCCAGTGACCCTAGTCAGAAAGAATAGAGCAAATCTTAAACAAATTTCACAAAAAACATACAAGCAATACGGTGCTCAGCAAAGCAGGCACAACTGTACATCGAAATTAGTAACTGCTCAGTGTTGGGGGTGTGGGAGGGGCCAAACATTTACAACAGAGTCCTCAGGGACCGATAAAGGGCTCTTCTTCAAAAGTATTGCAGACAAGCAGGCCCCGCTTGTCTATTCCAAGTGCAGCAGAACCAGTGCATGGAGAGCGCAGTGCAGTCCCACTATTGCACCTGCGTCTCAAAGCTGCCGTTCAGCTGACCCTCCTCATAGTCCATTTGACACAAAATCATGTTGTTCTTTAGGAAAAACTTGTCGCCCACGCAAAACCTGTCCACACACAAAACAAAACAAAGAAATCATTAGAACACTCAAAATGATTGGCAATATGACAGGCTCCTTAGATTCAGCCACGCACCATTCTTTAATTATTATTTTCTATTGGTAGTTAAGTTGGATTCATGAGCTCTAAGCACAAATGCCGCACAAATGGATGAAGTGTGAATAATAATAATTCTGGATACTCACAAATGCCTTGGGGCACACTTACTTACAGAAGCGAGGCAACCAGTATGTACCATTGGCTTCTCCAACCACCACCAACCATACACACACACATACTAGACTCATTCTCGAAAATGTGGGTGAAGTGTCTTGCCCAAGGCCACAATGACAGTTTGGCATTTACAGCATTTTGCAGCCGTCCCACTGTGGCACCTGGTGTTCCCAGAGGTCTCCCATCACAGTACAAACCCGGCTCTGCACTGCTTAACTTCAGCAGGCCCTAGGTATGGACCTGATCAAATGTCATTATCATTAAAAGGAATGACAAATTAACAACAGAGGTTTATTATTATTGACTTATTTCTTCTTCTACTACTAAAATGTTCATGATTTCGAAGATACAGTGAGTAGTGGTGCCACCTGCATGTGAAACCTTGATACCGTCAGATGTCAGAAACTATGTAGGACAGGGCCTGGTTAGTACTGTGAAGGGAGACCTCTGGGAACACCATGTGTGACAGTGCGGCGGTTGCGGCTGTGTCCTTGGACAAGTCATTAACTTGAATCTAGTATGATCTGTTGGTGGTCAGATCTGCTGCTGGCACATATAAGTTGCTTTGCTTTCGTCAGTCTACCCCAGGGCAGGTGTGGCTACAGTAGTGGTTCAACAGTGTATGGAGTGAATGAATAATGCCATGAAGAGCGTCTTTGGGTCTCATAAAAAGCGCTGTAGTATGCACGATTATAATAGTAGAGATCTTCCCAGTGTTACCAAGAAAATGTACAATTGCTAAATAACATTTGCTGAGAGAACAAGTCTCAACATTTATTGACATTGGTCACATGGTGAATATATGAACAGTTCCAAAGAATCTTTGAAAGAAAATGTGACGGGGGTAAAGAGTAAATATTGGAGCAATAGTCGGCGTGCACAGTCGTGGCTTCACTACACTGCTTCTGTTGCAGCAGGTGTTTCACTATGGAAACTGGTTGTGGCCCACACGGGGTTAATGGGCTTGTGCTGTGTGAGAGAGCAGGGTCACAGCACCCTGACAGCTGCGCTCCCCGCTGCACCCATTACTGACACTGCATTAATGGAAAAAAAGCAATATTTGGATATGTCAGATTCACGGCACTTCACGTCGTAGCTTTACACAGTGAATTAAGATGAATAGTGGTGTTGTATTGTAGACGTTATTTTCACTTTGGCGTTGCCTTTTATCACCAGCTATCAGCCTTCTATCACCAGCAAGGGTCTATACTTAGCTTGGGCAATACGGATGCCCAAAGAAAACGTGCTACTCGTAAATAGAATGCTCTGCGGGATGATTTTTAAATGTGTTCTGATCTCACGCAAAGTAAAAAAAAATCACTCGTTTCTTATCCTTAGGAAGTGATCTCTCTGTCTCTTTGTGCCATCGGGATACAGTATGTTTTGATAAACTGTCTCTGTAGAGTACACATTTCTATTATCCAGTTTATAGTGAAACAAATATATATATTCTTCACTAGTAAATGATTGAGATACAGGCGCATTAGTGGGACCACGCTGCTCTCACATTTTGAGTATAAGACATCCCTATCGTATGTTTTTGCGATTATTTCCAACTCAATTTACACCGTTGAATTTATTTCTAACAAACTGTAATTGCCTTTATTTAAGTGTGCTTGAATTAAGTTGCATTGTTGTATTGAAAGACATTTGTTATATTCAATCGTGCCAGAGTCATGTAAAATTAGGTTATATTGGGCACATCCAGTACACATCCTGTCCTTTACAAATTACATTTAGCCACATAATCCATTTGGCCACATGTTGACGTTCCAACAACAATGAGGCAAAAGGCAAAGTGTGACGCTGAATGTGTCGTGCTCTGGGCTTTCAAAAATCGCTGATCTACAGGGTTTTTACCAACATCAACAAGATTTCCTGTAAGCGGCAGTTTTGGAAAAAATGATAGAAATGATCAGTAAGAAATGAAATAAGGTCTGCCAGAAATCCGTTCTTTGAAAAGTATGATATGGATTTAGTAAAGTATTTACAGATGGAAAAAGTGACAAATAAAAATGACATTTGTTGGTTGTAAACTCCTGCCAAATATGGACCACTTTCCTTTTTTTATTCATACATAAAAAAATGTATAGAAGGGAGCGTTATTTCTACAGTATGATCCATTTATTTTTGTATGTTATTGGTTTGCAGGGTCTTCTGAAAGCTTAAAGCCAGAAAAATCCGGTTTCTGTGGTGCCTGTGATTAAATTATTGGGATCTAAACAGCGGTGCAGCCCTTCCCTCTTCATACATCACATTATTTGTGTGTCGTTTTTATTTATTTATTGACCTTTATTCCACCAGGAAAGTCCCACAGAGATTTCAGATTCTGTTTTTCAGGACCCAGACAGGGCGCAGGAGTGGGGTAAGGGATGGTATTATGGAAACTACTGTACATGTTTTAAGTGGAAGGGAAAACTACGCAGACACAGGGAGAACAAGCAAATTCTAGCATGTGTCTACCATTCCAGACCAAGTCCATTATGAAAACACTTAATGCTTTCATCTTTAAAAAGCAAACCAAGATGATTGTATTAACTGTAGCCTTATGTCCATTCATGTCATAGTGTGATAATAAAAAGCCCTGTACCCAAAGTTTACTGGCATCAAAACACAATCAGTTATTTGTGCCTCACAGCAAGAAGGTCCTGGGTTCGATTCCACCTCCAGACCTTTCTGAGAGGAGTTTGCCTGTTCTTCCCGTGTTTTCGTAGGTTTCCTCCGGTTGCCTCAATTTCCCCTACCAAACTACAAGTATGTAGAATAGGTCTGTCCTGCGCCTTCTGTACGGCAAACCCATCTCTGTGTGGAGAAAGCACTTTGTGACTTTGGTCTATGAAAGGCATTATATAAATAAAGATTATTTACTCACTTAAGTTCCTTTCACAACTTTCTACCAAGTTTCCAAAAGGTGACCATATCTTTAGCCCTGTTTCCACCAGCCCTACTTGGCCCAACTCTACTGTACTTGGCTGTGCTCTAATCCGATTGGTCGCATTTCCACCAGCCCTGCTTAACTGGTGGACCTCTTTTAGCACCTGCTTGGCCCTGGATCTAAACAGGAAGCCATGGTTGTCAAGGAATTCCCCTGGATACTGGTTTGTTGGGGTGAGGTTCTTAGGATGTGGTGCCAGATACTAAAGCGCAATGGAAACACAACCAGGTAGAGTAGAGCCGAGGAGAGGTTAGAGGGCTGGTGGAAATGGGGCTATTGTGTTCCCTAAGTATTATATTTGGAGATATCGTTCAAACCCAATGCATGTAAAATGACTCAGAGCCACAAATACATTTAAATACATAACAAGAAAAAATCATTTGTATAAGTTTTGTCAAGTGTATATTTATATACTGTATACAGTGTATATAGTGTATACTGATTCTGATTCTGATTTGTTGCTCTTTTTGTTCAACCATATATAACACTAAAATACTTTGTCAGAGAGTGTTGTTCAACTTAGGGCCCATAAAAACAGTTTTATGTTCAGAAATGTAGAAAAAGACAAGATGCTCTACCTCTTTTACTAGAAATATCTGCAGATGGACAACAATACTGTTCTCTCAATTCCATATTCTGAGAGATTTCTTATCAATCAACAATCTCATCATTACTTTTAGCAGTGTAATGTGGGTTTTTGTGGCCGAGCCCTGATTGTAAGCTTTTTTTTTTTAGTAAGCTTTTTATTTATATACCGCCTTTTCACTGCACATCGGAGTCTCAAAGCGGTTTACAATTGTTATTTTTTTGGGAGTGGGGGTGCCAGTACAGGAGGCACATGCCATACCTATTGTACATATTTTTTGTGGTAGGGGAAACCGGAGCACCCGGAGGAAACCTACGCAGACACGGGGAGAACATGCAAACTCCACTCAGAAAGGCCCTGGTCCAACCGGGATTTGAACCCAGGACCTTCTTGCTGAGAGGCGAGAGTGCTATCCACTCAGCCACCGTGCCAATTGATTGGTGTTTATTATACATGGAATGCCTTTTCCCCCATGTAGGTCTGTAAGTTTTATAGTGTGTTTTGTGGTTCCTCTGACACTTCAAAACATGAGCTCATTAAACACCAGCTCAATTGATTCAAACAAGGCCAACCCTAAATCCGTAAAAACGTAGATAGAACCTTGTGGTATAAAAGTACATCAGCCTTCACAAAATAAGAATATCTGTTTTTTTTGTGTGAACTCCCATCCAAATATTTGAGCAAATGGATATTTTGTGTTTATGATTTTCTAACAAGGCAGTGTTTTTGATTTGCTTTCTTACCTCTGGTTACAAAGCTGACAGGCAAAACAGTCCAAATGGTAAACATTATCTCGGGCTCTCATCACCATTTCAAAGGCGGGGATGAGTTTACTGCAGGCTGCACAGTTCCCTGTTGTCCCGAAGAGCCTGAAACACACACACACACACGCACAGATTAACTCTCTGCACTCCGCTTACATTCACGCAACAAAAGAGTGAGCTCAAATCTAGTCAAAAGTAGCATTTGCCGAGGAGAGGAAAGGCACCAATATACCACCTAATCCGGAGTAGGTATTACTGTTAATGGGTTGTTAAGACACAGAGCTTAATTATCCACTAATGTTCTAATTGAAATGAACACATGTCTGTAATCTCCGACAGTCTGAGCACAATTTAGAACCATTTGTGCAAAGCCAGTTAGTTCAGGGGTCCATCTGCACAAATGGGACCCTAATAAAGAGCAGTACAAGTTTAAATGTATATGTTTAAATCTAAACAAAAAGCACCAGTTTAGTTTAATCATAAAACGTCATAAATTACGGGCATAACCTGTAGTATAATTTATTCTCAGGTCATTTCCCAACAAAAGGCCATATTTCATTCAAATGCATTACTTTTCAGCACGAGGAGATTTGAAGATTTTCTATTTGTTCGCTTGTACTATGTATCGTGTGAGCATTGACCTAAAAAGAAAATAGGATAATGTCCATGTAACTAGTCAAAACATGCATGAGGTTTTGGGCTCTGTCACATCTTTAGATCAGCTTTTTCAGAAAGTTAAGTGAAAACGAGAGGACCACCCTCACTCAGCCAATCAGTGTGTGAGATAAGGTCTGAAAAAGTATACTTGAACAAGACACAGTGGCTGAGAGGGTAGCACTCTCGCTTCTCAGCAAGGTCTTGGGTCAAAATCCCAGTCGGAGCGGGGCCTTTCTGAGTGGAGTTTGTATGTTCTCCCCGTGTCTGCATAGGTTTTTCCCCTACCACTAAAAACATAGGTCTCTCCTGTATGGTGACCTCCCCTTTGTGTGGAGTGACAGACAAAGGCCAAAACAATTGCTTTGTGACTCTGGTCTGTGAAAAGTTCTATATTTATAAAGACTACTTAAAAAGTGTCCCAACACTTTTTGCGTTGGGACAAACGACATGTGAAACATTTAGTCCAATTACTTAGCAGACACATTCGGGGATTCTTGTTATGAGCAATGTAGTAGCAATGTAGATTTTAGAAGGACAAGCAGGTGTAGGGTTTTATTTTGAACAAACACGTTGTTTTTGCAAAAGGCCATAACTTAACAGTTCCTGGCGTCCAAATGATTTGTTCCCCAAACTTGTGGAGCTTAGACATGTTTGCACAGTGCTGTTCTGGTGCCTCGTTTGTGCCTGTCCCATTCAGTTGTATTTCACCTTGTTAAAGAAAAGCGTCTATCCAGCAGCTCTGCGTCTAATTAGGGTCCATGCCCAGTGGAGTCAAGGCGACAGAGGCGCAGGGGCAGCGCTGTTATGTTCCATGAGAGATTCACAGGGTTTTAACACACATACTGTTCCCTCCAGTTACTGTTGCACTAGACACCTGCCACCCAATAAGCTCTCGCAGCAAACACAAAGACACGTTTATGCTCTAAAGCCATTCTAAAACAAAATACAGGCCAGACTATGTTCAAAACACCACCTGTATACCAGCACCAAATTTGTTTTAGTTTTAATAGTGTATTGTTGCTTCTAAGTTATGCCAATCTTAACATTGGACGAATCATGGCCAAATAATTGAACAGAATGCCACAAAATATGCTTATGATTGAAAGAGCTCGGGTTATTGACATCAGGGTAGACCGATGTTTTGACGAAGAAGTGACTATTTGTGAACTCTACCTCTAGGACTGGAGGGCTGCTTTTCACAAACCTCTGTTGTTGTTGGTTTAATATCACAGTTATTTTCCCATACCTAACCCAGGCTGAAATGTTACAACCATTTCCAAAAAGAGTAGGTATCGCACACCCAAAAGGTTTCAGCTATATACTGCTTGCATTGTAACATTGTGTATATTAGAGGTGTCACGATTTAGTTTTTTATCCCCAGGTTTACATACATCAGGGAGGTGTGCAAAGAGGTAAAAGAAAAGAAAAAAACAGTAGTAAGAGTACATGACAACGCAGCACACTGTAGCCGACGCCACTAGTTGGCTAACCTGCATTTTATGACACCATGGCGAGTGCAGATAAAGGAGACGCGGCACCGGAGCTTGAAGCCGTTCCTGCTTCTTTTAAATCACCAGTATGGAAATATTTTGCGTTCCCGGTGAGTTATGTGTCGACCACAGATACACAGATACACAACCATATGTATGCTTATGTGCGTCTACTAGTGATGGGCAAACATAATGCTCCGGAGCGTGTCTCGCTCCTCCCAAAGCAAACTGCTTCAAAACAATCAATCAATCAATCAACGTTTATTTATAGAGCGCCTTTCCTACACAAGGCAACGCAAAGCGCCTCACAACCCATATAACATCATGCATAAATCATCAAACATTAGAATTTAAGTAAACATAAAAAGACAGATTAAGAGCACAAGATATATAAAATCACACAAGTAGTTAAAAACCGTAAAAAATTAAAATCACACAAGGGATTACAATCATAAATAATCATAAATAATCATAGCGCATTAAAAAGATTAAAGATAAAAACAAATGTAAAATCATTCACTTGTATGCACAGCTAAAAAGAACTGTTTTCAGTTCAGTTTTAAAAACTGCTAGAGTAGACGCCTGTCTCACACTCTCGGGAAGACGGTTCCAGACTCTAGCCGCATGAATCTGAAACGCAGCCTCCCCATGTCTAGTTCCGACTCTTGGCACCAACAGAAGTCCAGTCCCTGCGCTCCTCAGAGCCCGAGCTGGTTCATATGGCACCAACATGTCGCGGATGTACCCTGGTGCGAGGCCATGGAGAGACTTGTACACAAGTAAAGCTACTTTAAAATCTATTCTCTGAGCCACAGGAAGCCAGTGCAGAGACCTGAGGACCGGACTAATGTGGTCGTACTTCCTGGTTCTAGTCAGGACTCGAGCTGCAGCATTTTGGATGTACTGCAGCTGTTTTACCGCTTGTTTAGAGAGACCTGTGAACAAGCCATTGCAGTAGTCCAATCGACTGGAGACAAATGCGTGGATAAGAATCTCCAAGTCTGCTTTAGACACAATGTTTTTAATTTTAGCAATGTTTCTTAGGTGGAAGTAAGCTGATGATGTGTTGGAGCATGTATCAAAACAAGCCGTGACAAATGTGTCAGCGTCAGATCCATGCTCTGCAGCCACTGCAGAGAAAAGAGATTGAAAATTGAATCAAATCATGACCCTAAAATTGAAAATCAGATCGAATCGTGACACCCCTAGACATATTACTATGTATGTATGGTTTTACTATTACAGGAACACTGAACAATGAACACTGGCCAAATAGGAGAGATGCAATGTGCCAGGTTATAACAGAAGTACTGTTTACACCTGCTGTCCGTCCGCATGTGGATTGAGACACACTTTATGCATGTATGTCTACTGTATGTCCAAGCTAGTTTCTACTTGTGATGCGACTCAGCCTTAGCCAGGCAATCTCATTTCAAACACATATAAATCACTACTTCTATCACTGCCAGTACAAAAATGAAACTTGGAAAATTAGAATACCGTTCAAAAGTTTATATATGTCTATAATTCAACTTAAAATGTGAAACCAAAATATGATCAATATCATTACACGCAGGGGTTGAGTTGAGCGTTCATTTATATTGAGTTCAATGTACATCAAACATAACTATATACATTTTTCTAGCAAATCATTCATTTACAATTACTTCTTAAAATATTGTACATTATTCAAACTTGAAAATGAGTGAGAGGAAGACAAATCTTATACATTCCCACTCATGTGTATATCATATTTACATCGGTGTGTTTGGAGCCAGTAGCAGAAGGTGCATACATGACAAGCCTTTGTTTGTTTAAAATGTTGATCATTATGGCTTACAGTCTTTTTCAAATGTATGAGATGTTTTATCTGGGGTTTTTAATCAACATTATAACAAAAAAGGATCGATATATCTCAGGGCGGCCCATGTCATGAATCTGTTATATTGTAAGTTGAGCGACAGAAGTAAATGGACTTTAGAACGATAATCTAAGTGGAGTTCCACCTGTACTTTGGTGCTAGTGGCAGCTTCATGTCCATACTGTATCTGGCCGTGTGAAAGGGCACTCGTGTCTCCCTCTGGTCGCTGAGGCTCTCGCTCAGTGTGACATGCGCACACCTGTTACAGCCCCACTGCTCTCTGGATGATTGTTACATCTCCATTACACCTGCTGGGAGGTGGACATGAGTGTACTTGATCTATACAGCTGGTGAATACACTCGGTGGGGAGGCCCAGCATGCTCTTTCACTAATGTCTGCCCTCAGCCCGAGCGGAGTGCGGCACCTGTGGATAGGTTTCCCTTTTCAGCTCTGTGTCCCTCATGACCTAATACTGCCGAGAGAAATGTACCAGGGGATGACCTTTAGATGTACACTGCATTGTGAAAGAGGTAGGGAGAGTTACAATTACAAATAATGGATGATTTGTGTTTATTTCTGCAAAAGACTGGAAAAACAAAACTATAATATATATAATTATGTTCAACACACTGTTATACGGGCCTACGTGTTAATACTGTTACTGTAGGGATATGTGTGAAACGGTCATCAGAGCAGTGGGTCCAATCCTTTTTTAGTACCTCCTTTTTTGTTTGTCTCACTCTGAATTCTCTAACTGTGATGTATGAAGAAATTAACAGTATATTATAATATGGTGCTACTTCACGTGAAAGCCAGATCCCGTCACTCATTGTGTCCTTAGGCAAGACACTTCACCCACATTGCATAGAATTAGTCTGACCACCAATATGAATGATTGGTGGTGGTCAGAGGGGCAGATGGCACGGACTGATTGCCTCGCTTCTGTCAGTGAGCCCCAGGGCCGCTGTGGCTACAGTAGTAGTTTATCACCATGTGAACGAAGTAACGGAATAATGCCATGTGAAGCCTCTTTGAGTGTCAAAAAAAGCACTGTATTATACATATATAAATATATAAATATATATATAGATATATA